TTTTTAGGGAAAGATTCATGATTATTATTACTGCGTTATTGTTACTGCGCAGTGAGAAGTGCGCATGAGTGAATTGTAAATTTTGCAAATTATTTAATTGAACATTTGGAGATTTGAGAGTATCAAAGGTGGGAGATATGGAAGTTCGAAATTATTAGATTTGTAAATTTCCAAATTTCGAAATCTTCGAATTCCACTCTGCAATTTTAAATTTTAAAAATTTGCAAGATCTCAAAATTAGTAATTCTAAAATTCTAGAATTACTAAAATATTAAATTTTTCAATTATAACATTTAACAAATTCCAAATTCTCAAATTCTTAAATCTCTAAACATTTCAAATCTCTAAATCCCCAGATATACACATACCCAAATTTCTAAGTCTCTATCTTCCTACATCTCCAAATTTTTAAGTTCCCAAATTTCCAAATCTTCAACTTTCCAAATTTCAAAATCTCAAATCCCAGATTCCAAAATCCCAAAATTCCAAAGTTCCTAAATCTCTAAATTCCTAGATCCCTGTATCCCTAAATCCCTGTATCCCTAAATCCCTGTATCCCTAAATCCCTGTATCCCTAAATCCCTGTATCCCTAAATCCCTGTATCCCTAAATCCCTGTATCCCTAAATCCCTGTATCCCTAAATCCCTGTATCCCTAAATCCCTGTATCCCTAAATCCCTGTATCCCTAAATCCCTGTATCCCTAAATCCCTGTATCCCTAAATCCCTGTATCCCTAAATCCCTGTATCCCTAAATCCCTGTATCCCTAAATCCCTGTATCCCTAAATCCCTGTATCCCTAAATCCCTGTATCCCTAAATCCCTGTATCCCTAAATCCCTGTATCCCTAAATCCCTGTATCCCTAAATCCCTGTATCCCTAAATCCCTGTATCCCTAAATCCCTGTATCCCTAAATCCCTGTATCCCTAAATCCCTGTATCCCTAAATCCCTGTATCCCTAAATCCCTGTATCCCTAAATCCCTGTATCCCTAAATCCCTGTATCCCTAAATCCCTGTATCCCTAAATCCCTGTATCCCTAAATCCCTGTATCCCTAAATCCCTGTATCCCTAAATCCCTGTATCCCTAAATCCCTGTATCCCTAAATCCCTGTATCCCTAAATCCCTGTATCCCTAAATCCCTGTATCCCTAAATCCCTGTATCCCTAAATCCCTGTATCCCTAAATCCCTGTATCCCTAAATCCCTGTATCCCTAAATCCCTGTATCCCTAAATCCCTGTATCCCTAAATCCCTGTATCCCTAAATCCCTGTATCCCTAAATCCCTGTATCCCTAAATCCCTGTATCCCTAAATCCCTGTATCCCTAAATCCCTGTATCCCTAAATCCCTGTATCCCTAAATCCCTGTATCCCTAAATCCCTGTATCCCTAAATCCCTGTATCCCTAAATCCCTGTATCCCTAAATCCCTGTATCCCTAAATCCCTGTATCCCTAAATCCCTGTATCCCTAAATCCCTGTATCCCTAAATCCCTGTATCCCTAAATCCCTGTATCCCTAAATCCCTGTATCCCTAAATCCCTGTATCCCTAAATCCCTGTATCCCTAAATCCCTGTATCCCTAAATCCCTGTATCCCTAAATCCCTGTATCCCTAAATCCCTGTATCCCTAAATCCCTGTATCCCTAAATCCCTGTATCCCTAAATCCCTGTATCCCTAAATCCCTGTATCCCTAAATCCCTGTATCCCTAAATCCCTGTATCCCTAAATCCCTGTATCCCTAAATCCCTGTATCCCTAAATCCCTGTATCCCTAAATCCCTGTATCCCTAAATCCCTGTATCCCTAAATCCCTGTATCCCTAAATCCCTGTATCCCTAAATCCCTGTATCCCTAAATCCCTGTATCCCTAAATCCCTGTATCCCTAAATCCCTGTATCCCTAAATCCCTGTATCCCTAAATCCCTGTATCCCTAAATCCCTGTATCCCTAAATCCCTGTATCCCTAAATCCCTGTATCCCTAAATCCCTGTATCCCTAAATCCCTGTATCCCTAAATCCCTGTATCCCTAAATCCCTGTATCCCTAAATCCCTGTATCCCTAAATCCCTGTATCCCTAAATCCCTGTATCCCTAAATCCCTGTATCCCTAAATCCCTGTATCCCTAAATCCCTGTATCCCTAAATCCCTGTATCCCTAAATCCCTGTATCCCTAAATCCCTGTATCCCTAAATCCCTGTATCCCTAAATCCTTGTATCCCTAAATCCTTTAATTCCTAAATCCCTAAATCCCTAAATCCCAACGTCTCCAAAAAAAAACTGCATTAATACAAAATTAAAAAATGAATAAATAATAAACAATATCTAATCCATAACTTATAAAAATAACCAGAAGTTTGAGTTGTCAACACATTTCTATCCAGAGATATGCGTACACTGTTCAGCGTACATCTATTAGAAACTGCAACGTGTGCGTTCGCGTCACGTCTCGACGCCGACAGCTGAAAGTCGAGTCCCCGCCATTTAATAAACTACCAATATTCTCGCCACGTATCGCGAACGAAAATTATTCGATCGTATCGATACTGCTTCGCGGAAACAAATTCGTTCCAGTCGATTTACGCGAGCGTTCAGTTTCCTGAACGGAAAACACGCTTATCTACGACGCATCGTAATCGACCGGCCATGTTTAGGGACGCATTAATTCCGTGACTATCAAAATAGCCGTGTGATTGACCCGAGTAATATGGCTAATTCGCGTGACGGTTCGAATCGTATGAAAATTCAAACGCAGGCTCATCGATGAAACGTAATGAACCGAAGCTGGAAAATGGCGATCGAACAGCACAACGAAGCGCGCTCGGAAACGAACCTTTCATCCTCCATATTATACAGGTATTCGTCGGATAATAAAGAACGAGTGATGCTAAATTGCAGATGATGAAGCTCCGAAATTACATGTTCAATGGGCAAACGCACACAAATATGTTTTCTCTTGTAATTCGAAAATAAACACATTTTCATTTGGGTTGACACTCGAAGCAAATTTCGTTTATTCATTTTTATTTAGTCATTCAGTAACCTTAACCATGACTTATGTATAATACACAGCTATATACGTAAATATACTTAATAGTATAAAAAATATTGTTGCTTTTATTTCTATATTTCAAGTATACGTAAACTTTTGTCCTCCACATATGAACATATTATATTTCTTTCTCGTACAAAGAATTTTGCTCCATAAATAAATAAAAAGAATATAAATTTGTTATACATACATTCAAGTTAGCGTTAAATTAATACTGTATTATAAACCGTACTGTAAATTAATAAGTAGCAAATAAATTCTATATATTTAAGACATCTACAAATTAAATTTCGCGCCATAAGTTTAGCGGCAAAATGGCGTCATTAACTTCCCACAGCTCCTATTGTCCACGACTAATTTTCCGATCGAAAACTAGGAGCGAAGCGATAAAACGAAAACATTCGCGCATTAATACATAAAACATAAGATACTCGGTAATAAAGTTGATCGGTTCCTATTGGTTGGAGAAATCGTTGCGGATACAGTTTTGAGAGGAAGCGTCGCCATATCGGTGGTCGTAGTCGCATCTCAGATTTACGTATGGCCATTCTGCCGTAGGAAAACCATTGGCCGTTTCTGGGATGCCGGTTTCGGGTACCGCGAATCTGTTTGGAAAGAGGTTGCCCAAAGACTATTGCGCGATTCGGAAAAGTCGGAGGATCGCAATAACGATTCGACGAAGCCGCGGTATTATAGAACGGTCTTCTTTCCAAAGTACCAGAAATAAATTTCGTACGGCACGCTCAACATCTTCGGGGAGATCGCGGAAATAAATCGCGAAGTTACGCTTTTCGAGTGTAACGGCCAATAAACGAGTAGGCCGAGACGTAAAAACGGCAAGCGAACACCCTTTGCTTCCCGTAGGATGGCTCGCGTGGAAAACACGATTTTACGCGGGTGGGACCGGCGTTTATTCGGTTAGGAAATAAGAAAAGCGTGGAACAGAAATTCTTAAAGATATTGCGTCGGAAAGAACGCGCCATTTTAAGGACAGAATGCTGAATTTTTAAAATGGCCGTTCTTGGGCAGTTAACGCGACTTGGCGACGCTTCTCAAGTATTTTTCGATCTAATCCTTAAGCTTTTTTCTTTTTATTGCTTTCCTTCGATCTGAAAGTTGTCCTTTTCTCGTTTCCACTTCGTTTAAGGTATTGGAATCTGAGATATTCGAGGGTGAAATAAAGGGTGAAGGAGACAAACTGGGAATAAAAGAATAGTACAATTATAGCATGGTTGACTGTGAAAATTATTTGAGTTGATATTACTTTGAATTCTTTGATACATTGATATGGAGTTTTAAATTGAACTGAATTTTATGATTGAACTAGAGTTATGGCTGGACGGGTCTTTGTACGCATAGGTTTTGAAGGACCTTTTGAGGTAGAGTAAATGTTTGGACATTGGAGTTTGAGGGTGGATATGGAAGTACAGATATCTAGTTTAGTGGTGTAAGGATTTAGGGATGCAAAGATATATATATTTGGAGATATGGGGATTTGGGCAGTCATAGATTTGGAGATTTGGAATTTAGGGATGTGAGAATTCTAGGATTTATGTATATGGAAATTTGGAAATCTAATTTGAGGACGTACGAGTTTAGGGATTTGGGGCTCCGTGGGTTTGGAGATTTGGAATTTGGGGGCGTGCGAATTTTCAGATGTGTAGATTTATGCATATGGAAATCTAATTTGGGGATGTAGAAACTTAAGGTTTAAGAGATTTATACATTTGGGGAGTCATGGATTTGGAGGTTTGGAATTTAGGGACGTGAGTGTTTTAGAATTTAGAGATCTATGCATATGGAAATTTAGAAATTTGGGAATCTAATTTAGTGGCACTCAGATCTTAGGATTTGCAAGCCTACACACTTGACAATCTAGCGATTTGAAGATCTGGATTTGGAGATTTAAAGACTAGGGATGCAAGAATTTTGAGATTTGTAAATTTCTGCATATAGAAATATAGATTGATGATATAGAAATCTAAGAAACTATGAACTTATATATTTGACAATTTAATGATATGAGCATGTGGATTAGGAGATTTGAAGTGTTGGTATTTGGGAGTTTTGTGATCTGAACGTCTACTGATGACAATCCACAAGTTGACGTGAGAAGAGTTTCATCCATGTGCTCAGAAGAGCTACTCTAAATGGTCAGAATAGAAAAATGGATGCCTCAGACGTCTTTTCAGCTGCACTATTGGCTCAAGCAGTCACACACCAATTAGGTCAAAAACAATGGCAGTCGACGACTGTCCTGAGGATCAAAAACTTTCAAAACCGTCTCCTAAGTGAGTGAGACAGTGCTACTTGCGTTCAACACAAGTTATTATCATTATTACTCTTATTTGCCTGTATGTAACTGGAAGTGTTCATAATGGAGATAGGATTCTTTTAGGATTCTTTTGAGGAGTTTTGTGATCTGGACACCTGATGACAACCCACAAGATAGCTCGTGAAGAGCCTCAGCCAGGTGTTTAGAAGAGTTACGACTCTAATTGATCAAAATACAAAATTGAACTTCATATGTATTGAACTTCACATATGCTTCACACGTATATTGGCTCAAGTCAATATGCTTTGAGTCGATCACGCACCAACTCGTGACATCTGCAGGTATTTAAAAATTCGAACGTTCCTGGATCCAGAAAATGTCTACAGTCAAACCTATATTTCAGGAACCTAACAATCGAGAAACGCGGCAATATGCTAAAAATTGATTCTCTCGCAACCGTAAAAGTTAACGAGGCCATACTCGTTCGTAAGAAGGCAAACGCGTCGTAGAAGAATCCGGAATCCGGTAGAACGGAAATGCATCGATTATCGCCTCCGCTGCGCTGATCTAACCGTATATCGTAGCCCTTTAGTGGAACAGCTTTGCCTTGTTTTGAAGTTTCCTAGTTTCCCCACTTTTTTTTCCTCTTCCCGCTTTTGTCGCTAGCACGGTCTATTGACTCGTCTATCCGTACCACTGTTTTTCTATCCATATAGCTACCGCTCTTTTCCCGTTCTCCTTTTCTCCCTTTTATATCCCACTGTTCGCCAACTCGACGCCATTTGACACGACGATCGCGAACCATTTGAAAGTAACCAGAGAAAAGAGAAAAGAGGAGCCCCGTCCTTTTCCTGGACCATGTCGCGGTGCGGGTCAGACTCGATAAAAGGGTTGCGAGTTTAATGGACGTCTCGAATGCAGACTGCTCCTAGTAACGCGACTTCGTTTATGCTACCTCGCCCCTGCATCCTCTTTTTTGCATTACGCGTTTTCATCGTATTAACCACTGAGGCATTTTGCTCCAACGACGGATTTTACTCCCCTTTCGATTCTATTCCAATGAAAGGTGCTTTCTTATGGTAACTTGTATCCTCGGTGATTTATCGTTGTTCTCTTATTCGCTGCTATTTACTGATGAACTATGAAACTGTGCAATTAACACTTTAATGGCCGCACGTCTACGCAGTCAAACGAAATAAGTGTAACTTTATATGTATAAAATGCCTCACAAGCGTAACTTTAGAAAGGGCTTTCTGAACATTTTCCTTTACAAACATGGAGTTTGAAGCTTTTTGAATTGTTAACACTTTAATGGCTGCACGTCTATGCAATCAAACGAAATAAGTGTAACTTTATATGTATAGAATGCCTCACAAGAGTAACTTTTAGAAAGGGCTTTCTGAACATTTTCCTTTGCAAAAATGGGGCTTGAAGCTTTTTGAATTATTAACATTTTAATGGCCGCTACGCAGTCGAACTTTCAGGAGCCGCCAACATTTTTCAAGAATTAATTTTAACAAACTTGATGTAAATTCACGAAACAGTTCAACATGTGCGAACATATTAAATCAAAAAACAACAACTTAATAACAAATTTGATAATGTATAAACAATTTAATTTGTAAAATAGCTTTGGATACGACACATAGAGTCGCCGCTATTTGCTCCATAATTTACGTGGTACACCAGTGTAGTGCAAAATCTAAAATTAAAAACAGGCAATAAAACAATAATTACCTAAGATCAAAGACGTAGTGGTGAAATACGAGGCCAATAGCAATATCCACACTTGTTTACATTCATAATTCATCACACACATGTGTGAGCGGACGCTAACGGTTGGCGCGGTCATCACACACATGTTGTGTGACCGGCCACTAAAGTGTTAATGTGAGGCGGGAGTGTTTAATTATACTTAGAATGGGGCCAACCGTGATAGGTGCATACAAAGAATTTTTTAATTTTCATTAATGAAGAAGGAACAAGAAATGAGTATTTCTTTATTGGCTTTTGGAGTGTGAAGGTACATCTGGATGTGATATAGGCTTAATTTGAATGCATATCTTGAGTTTAAAACGTTTTTGTTTTCTGAATTTTGTAATTTTTTAATTTTCAAGTTTTTGTAAGATTTCAAATTTTCAAATTTAAGATACTCAAATCTTGAACTTCTCAAATTTCAAATTCCTCATGTGCCAAACTTTGAAATTCCAAACTTCTCAAATTCTAAGATTTCTAAACTCCAAATTTCCTAAATTTTGTACTCTCTAAATTTGTATTTCAAGACCCAAACTCCTCAAATTCCAATTTTTCCAAATCCCAACATCCTCAAACCCCGAACTTTCTAAATCCCAGCCTCCTCAAATCCCAAACTCTCCATATCCCTACCTTCTCAAATTCCAAACTCTCCAAATCCCAAACTCCTCAAATCCCAAACTCTCCATATCCCTACCTTCTCAAATTCCAATTTCTCCAAATCCCAAACTCCTCAAATCCCAAACTCTCCATATCCCTACCTTCTCAAATTCCAATTTCTCCAAATCCCAACCTCCTCAAATCCCAAACTCTCAAAATTTCAATTTCTCCAAATCCCAAACTCTCCATATCCCTACCTTCTCAAATTCCAATTTCTCCAAATCCCAAACTCCTCAAATCCCAAACTCTCCATATCCCTACCTTCTCAAATTCCAAACTCTCCAAATCCCAAACTCCTCAAATCCCAAACTCTCCATATCCCTACCTTCTCAAATTCCAATTTCTCCAAATCCCAACCTCCTCAAATCCCAAACTCTCAAAATTCCAATTTCTCCAAATCCCAAATTCCCAAAATCCCTACCTCCTCAAATTCCAATTTCTCCAAATCCCAACCTCCTCAAATCCCAAACTCTCAAAATTCCAACCTCCTCAAATCCCAAACTCTCCAAATCCCAACCTCCTCAAATCCCAAACTCTCAAAATCCCAACCTTCTCAAATCCCAAACTCTCAAAATCCCAACCTTCTCAAATCCCAACCTCCTCAAATCCCAACCTCCTTAAACCCCAAACTTCCAAATTTTAAACTCCTCAAGCCCCAAAAACTCTCCTCATCTCATACTCCTTAAATTCCACCCTCTTCAAATACCAAACTTTCCAAATATTAAGATCTGCAAATTCCAAACTCTTCAATTTCCAAGCTTTCTCAATCACAAACTCCTCAAACCCTACACTTCTTCATTTCCAAACTCTTCAAACTCCAAGATTCCACCTTCATACATCCCAAAATTTCAAGCTCCTCAAATTCCTAAACCATCAAATCTCCTAATACATTTCCAAGTATATCTCTAAATACATCTCCAAGTACATCTCCAAATTTCAATCTATCCCCAAATTCTCAAATCCCTAAAAATTAACAAGTCATACCTTCTCCACAAGACTTCACAGGTCTTCTCCATTATCACATTTCCTCCAACACAAACTCACATTCAACTCCACAACTCAGCATCCTACGGTAAAAGAATCATGCTCCACACGAAAAATCATCGTCTCTAATTAAATATCTGAAGTTATACTCCGTTTTCCACATTTCGTTCAAGAAACCTCCGGCAGAAAGAAAAATCGACATGTATCGCGAAGCACCGGTAAAGTGCAGAAATGCTGTTGAAACGTCGGACATTTATCGCGTTTCGGCATCAAAAATGCCTGGCAAACATATCGACCAGATTCATTTCTAATCGTCACACGTTTGCGAGCACTTTCGTATGAAACTTTAGCGAAGTAAAGTCCACGTGCTCTGGAAACTAGCGAAAGGGCGGCTCGGGGTAAGTTGGCTACGAGGGGCACGGGGGAAGAAAAAGGGGCCGAGCGAATGGCGCCGGCACCGAGGAGAATAGTTGGAAGCTCATTCGAAGCAGAAGCGAAATCCTTCGCGTTTCAGGTTACCGTTGAAGATGTCGAGCACGTACCTTCGTTCCTGATCATTGCCCGGCTCCCTGCCACCCAAGATACACGAGAATGCCGTCGCAAGATGTCACACGGTCGTTCGAAAACTTTCCCGCCAACTTTTCAATACGCAATTCGATTTTTCAATAAGTGCATTTTTTTGACCTTCTCTGCAAAAAACATTGTCTTCTTTTCACATTGCACTATCTGTGACGCGTTTTAAAACTTTTTAAAAAATATTTTTTCATTTGAAGTATCTTACAAATATTTATTTTTTTGAATTTGATTTTGTTATGCAGAATACAGCAAAGAGAATGTGATTAAAATAAAGTTTTTACACATCTACATTTTTCATTTTATTTACATTTTTTTAAGGGGTGCAGAGTACTTTTAATATTGCACGATTTTTATTTAAAAAATTGTTCATATCATGTATGTTTTTCGTATAAACAAACTATGTATATGTACTTATTTTGAATGTTCTGAAATTTAACAAAATAAATTTAAATGCTGAATTATAGTACATAAATATTTTTTACAAAATTGAACTTTAATAATTCATTATATTTATCTGTCTAGTTGTCACCAACATTTTACAGTTTATTTATATTCATTGTTCTGAACAATTCGAACCGAAATTTAATCAAAAAGCTGCGGGTGAACTTGTGACCTGTCCTTGTCTGAAGTACTTATAGGGGTTGAAAACTTGTAAGTCATCATATATGAAAATGGTTATTCCTACGAGAAAAACTTATATGACCTTTCTTGCAGAGAATTTCCTAAGCTATAAATTGTGTAATATCTATTTTTGTCGTACAATCGATATATAACGAGATATCCGAGGAAGTGTTATTTGAAAGAAGATTTGAAAAATCTGGGAGACAATTTTTACTAAATTAAATTGTATGAACTTTTGATTCATTTTACACGGAAATGGTTACTTCTATGAGGAAAACTTATATAACCTTTCTTGCAGAGAATTTTGTAAGCTATAAATTGTGTAATATCTATTTTTGTCGTACAATGGATATATAGCGAGATATTTCAGAAAATGTTGTTTCAAGGATTTGACCAATGTGGGAGACAACTTTTAGTAGGTTACATTAGATGAGCTTCTGCTTCATTTTTCAGGAAAATGGTTACTTCTATGAGAAAAATTTATAGAACCTTTCTTGCAAAGAATTTTGTAAGCTATAAATTTTATAAGAACTATTTTTGTCGTACAATTGATATATAACGAGATATTTGAGAAAATGTCATTTGAAAGATTTGACCAATCTGTGAGGCAATTTTTAGTAAATTCTTCATAAACTTCGGTTCATCAATTCTCGAAAATGATTACGTCTATGAAAAGAACTCATAGAACCTTTTTTATAGAGAATTTCCTAAGCTATAAATGTTGTAATAACTATTTTTGACGTACAACCAATATATGGCATGATATTTACGATTAACTGCTACCACTTATAAAATTTGTAGTAAAAATCAATGAAGATTTTTGACACGTCAAATTTTTACACAAAGTAGAGGTTCGTACAAAAATAAAGCTCGCCCAGAGTTATTCCACAAAAAAGTCCTAGTTTCCCTGCACTATAAACGTTTTGAGGGGAGTTTGACGGGCCATTTACGTTCGTATAGATTATGTGACGATGTCAAAATTGATACCAAAATTATTCGTGGAATTGATCGGACGCTTCGGTGAGTTGAAACGCCGATGTAACCGGAACGAGACATAGCCACGATCGGTTACGCATAAACGATACCGTTTCGATTCGATTTGATGCGATTCAATTCGACCCAACCTGATCGATCTTGACGGGGAGGGTGACACAAACGATGCGGAATGGGAGATTACTACCTATTTATTTCTTTATTGATTACAGCAAAACGTC